GCTCCCACCCTGGCCGCAGGGGTTGCAGATGAGGTTGCGTCCCAACGGTCTGCGCACGCAGAAGCGGCCCAGAGGACAAGGCCTGGCGTCGCAAGCGGGGGGCAGGCAGTTGCGGACGAACGACATCAGGGCGCGGCCAGCGGCGCCATGGTCCCGGGCCAGGATCAGGAGCCACAGGGCCTGGCCGTCCACCAGGGCGCGCCACTCGCGGCACACCCGGCGGCAGCGGGTGAGGAGCGTGCGTGGGGGCACGTGGCTCAGCACCACCAGGAGCAGCTCGGGTGGCAGTTGGCTCAGGTCCAGCGCCTCCTCCGGGTCCAGCTTCGGCTCGGGGACCCGGGTGGCCTGGCCCCTGGAGGCGGAGGCGCCCATGGTCCCCCGGCCGGAGCCAGCGGCGGCTGCGGGCGAGAAAGGGTCAGGGCGTCAGGGACCGGCAGCCTCCGCGGCGCGCCACCTCCGCCGGCCCCGCCCTCGCCGGGCGCGCGTCGGAGCAGCCCCCGAAGCCCTCGGAGCCTCCCGCCCACCCTTCGCACCCCCACGTGTCCCCAGGTCCCCACCCTCAGCCCCCGCCTCGCCAGCCCCCATCGCGCTCACAGCTCCCCGCCATCCAGCCCGCCTTAGTGGCCCAACTGTCCCCCGAGTCCTACTCCGGAGCCCGCCGGTGTCCCTCGCGTGGGCCGCGCGGTGCGGCTCTCGGCCTCCCGCTCCCTTTTTACTCGCCGGCCCCTCCCCTCGGGCTGGCGCTCCTCTGCCGGCCGCGGTCCAATCCCCGGCGCCTTCCTCTCCAAACCCACCTCCTTCCCGCAGGCTGCGGGCGGCAGGGACACGACTCGGCCCCTGGGACACGGCAGACGCGGCCGGGAACCGGCGGCGGGAATCCGGGCTCTGTCCCTCGCGATGCGCACCTTGCAATGTCCCTAATTCTGCAGAAGGCGCCTGGCACTGAGCAACCGCAGTTATTTGGGTCCAGCATGCGGGCAGGAGACCTCCTTGCGTTATCTCGTTTAAACTTTTCCATCACCTTTAAGGCGGGTCATGGTTATCCTCTTTCCCCAGAAAAAAAACAGACTCCAACCGCCAAAAATCAGCGTTCTAACCCCAAACACCAGACAGTCTTCAGGGACAGTCTGACTGCGGGCCCGCGTAGCAATCCCATGAAGTAGGCACTGCTCTGCTCCCATTTTACAGATGAGAAAACAGGCCCAACACAAGCCAGGGGACTTGCCAGTGGTCACCAGACTAGTAGTGACAGAACTGGGAGTTGAACCCCGCTGTCTAGCTCCAGAATCCCCGATTTTAACCCATGTATCAGCTCTGTTCAATAAGTTTTTTGATTTTTCTTTTTAGTTATTCATGACATCAGGATTCAGTTTTACAAAATTAAAAAAGCAGACTATGATTTGTTCAAATTTGGTTCCCAGTATTTCCCTTTCCCTTTTCCCTTCTCTCTCCATCTTTCTGTTATTTACTTTTAGATTTTTTTTTTTTATTAATGTCTTCTGGATATCCATGATGGTAAGTCTCACTGTGGTACCTTTCATAAAAGGACACAGGAAAGTTAGGTCAGATTGATTCCTCGGTTCTTCCCTTATCCAGCGCCCCCCCCCCATTCCCCTTCCTCTAGTCCAGGGGCTTTTTTCTATTTTGATGGAGTCTCCCCTGCCCCTCCGCACTTTCTTGCTCTCCTTATTTTGGACTGGCTCCCACATATCAGAGAAGGCACTGGACCTTTGCCTCTCTAGGTCTGGCTTATTTCACTTACCATCACAGTCTCCTCGATCAAAGTTACGATGAGTCATTTATGTCATTTTAAACACCAACAAACAAAACTGGACATGGATTCTTGGCCACATGGAACTTTCCTTCTAGAGGGAGAGGTATCGTGAACAAACAGACATAACAATAAGCGAATTATATAGCACTGGGGAAATTAAAAATAAGACCTCTGGCCAGTTCCCCCCCAAATACTCTCCACAAATGTGGAAAAGAATGAAAGCTTTAAAAATGAGTAGCATTGAGCCAGACCATAGAGGGCATCGGCCATGAAGAACCAACTGGCAATGAATAGAGGACATCCTGTGCTAGGCAGTGATCAAAGCTGTGGAAACCTAGCAGGGAAGGGGGTGGGGCAAGGGCAGGCGAGTGTGCTGGGGCAGACCTCGGGTCAGCGGGCTTCTCTTCACCAGTATTTAGCGGCAGAGTCAATTGGTGGAACCCTAGCACGGCTCATTTTCGGAGCAGAAAATAGCGATGGGCTGGAGCAGTGGTCTGGGTTATTTAGGGTGGGGCAGGAGGGCGATTCCTGGGGTTCATTGTATTGGGGTCCTGCTGATCCCTTAGAGTGGAACAGGGATGTGAAGGACATTGGGACCGAAGGTAGATGCACTCAATTCAAGACCCGTGGAAAGGATGGCCTGAGTTCTCTCTCACTCCCAAGCTTATTTTTTTTATTTTTATTTTTTGGTACCAGGGATTGAACCCAGGGGCACCTAACCACTGGGTCACATCCCCAGCCTTTTTATATATCTTATTAGAGACCGGGTGGCGCTGAGTTGCTTAGGGCCTTATGCTAAGTTGCTGAGGCTAGGTTTGAGTTCGTGATCCTCCTGCCTCAGCCTCCCAAATTGCTGGGATTACAGGCCTGCTCCGGGCTACACTCCAGTCTTTGCACCAAGTGCAGAATAAAGCTGTGATGCCTTTGACTTAACATCTCCAGGAAGGAACTGGAATGAGAGAATGAGACTGTTGTGGGTTCCCACAAAAGGACAGAAAGCAAACGCATTCCCCAGCCCTTAGCCTATTTGTTAAGAGCACGGTTTCCTCCACCCTGTGGGCCCGCAGAGCCCGCAGAGCAGCTGAACAGCTCGGTCTAGTCACAAGGCCAAGTGTCTGCAGGATGGCAGCATCCACAGCAATTCCTGGGGTAAACTAAGCACCCATTCCCCAAGGCCAGGTGTTTGCGCAAGAAATAAAAAATCTTTTAAAATTGTGCCTCTGGCTGGTGAAACATTACAGGCAGAGTCTCAAAATAGCTGGGGATATGGCTCCGTGGTGGAGACCCCTGGCTTCACTCCCTGCAACAAACAAACCAATATTGTCCCCATGAGGGAGCTTGAGGAGGGAGGGAGCGGGAGGAGGTCTCTGGAGGAGGGCTCTGCTCAGATCTGGGCTCGGGACACATCACAGAAGAGAGTTTAAGGATGGGTCGGGTTTTGCCAGAGAGGACCAGCTTGACTAGGAAGTGAAAGGTGAGCGCGCTGCTCTCCAGGCAGTGTCCCTGCTAAGGTGACAGGGAGACACTGGCCAGGCTTAGGGTCAGGGTTTCTATTAGAGCATGGAATTAGGTGGGATAGGTCTGGCCTGGAGTGCTGAGGCCAGAATGAGACAGGCAGGCAGTAAGACAGGTAAATCAGTCAGGAGGATCGAGGAGGCCAATTTTGAGTGAATCTGGCAAGTTGGAGGCTGTCCCGCGGGGATTGAGATTTAGTTCCTCCAGAGCCCTTCCTCCACCCTTATCCAGAACCTCCCCGGCCCCAGCCTGTGGCCAAGGTAACCTGTCCCAGGAATTGCCCCTCCCTAAGGGAGCTATAAGGTGGTTAATTAATGAGGCCTGGGCCGCTCCATCCTGCCCTTCCCCCTCCAGCCCACCTGGTTCCCACCTTTGGGCCACCGCACCGAGTCTCAGTGCACTGGAAGGAGAGAGATGAGGGGAAGAGGGCAGGAGAACACAGGAAGCCTAGGACATATAAAAAGGGCAGAGCACCTCGCTTCTGGGGATACCCGGATACCAGCTGTGGCCCCCATAGAGAAGTCTATGTGACCCCTTTCTAAATAAACCCTGTCTACAGGCCTGCCTGGGCGCTTCTCTAACGTTCAAACTTCAGCCTGTGGGGAAGCGGGATCAGTGGTGGGACTTCCCTTGGGATGGCATATATTGAGCAAGAGTTTCCCCACTGCGGTCGGTGCTGGCCAGGCAGGTGGCTTCAGCTCGCATCTGTGGCTGACAGGTCATGTTCATGGTCCAAGTCAACAGTAGCCCCTAGCTTCACAAGGTCAAAGGTCTCTTTCCATCCCTGAGACTCCTCTGTTGGACTCAGCTGCCCTCAGCGGCCGGCGGGTCCACATTCCAACATGGACATCTCTCTACACATTCCTAAAATTCTATCTCAGTGGGACAGAAGGGCAGAGGCTGAAAAGTCCTTCTCTCTCAGTCCCCAATTCTCCTCCCCAGAGGTGGCCTCTGTCAATTTCTGCAATGACATCCCAGGCTACACTGTGAAAAGGAAAACAACGAATGAGCTCAAGAAGGTTCTAGTTCCTAGAATATATATAATAATTAGAAAGTAATGACTCCTGGGGTGGGGGAGGGGAGGGGAGGAGGCAAGGCACCCGGGGGCCATCTGAGAAAGTTATGGGTCAGGGTAGTGGAGGGTGCTGTTTGGGTCCCGTGGAAGGTCACACCCAGAGAGTTGTCCCAATTCCTACAGTCATGGCACCCTAGGCTGGAGTCCCCACAGACTGGATTC